TGCCCTGCCCTGCCCTGCCCTACCCTGCCCTCCCCTCCCCTCTCTTCTCCTCTCCTCTCTCTCTCTTTTCTCTTCCCTTCTCTTCCCTTCTCTTCTTTCCTTATCACAGATAGAATAAAGAAACAAAATCCTGGAAAACAAAGTTAAGCAATAGTTACCTTAAAGTACAAATCATTCTTCACCTATGCAGAAGAAATGTCCAGTTATTTCACTTGATCATGTTGGGCTCTGTAGCTTTAACCCCACACCTCTGTTTCACATGTATAAACATGTTGGTTGCTTTGAAAGTAATACCTCCTATTCCATGGAAGCTACAACAGATACAGAGAGCAAAATAACACTGTTTGATAGAGGAATTTCCAAGCTACAGTACGCAATATTTCAACACGGTCACCACTGCTTGGCATGCATTTTCAATAGACAGGATGAGAGCCTTCATGCTGCATTCATATACATTGACACAAACAGAGATGACCAGATGTCACTGTTGCCACTGCTGAAATGTGCCACCCAGTGCCTCTGTATGCTCACATCCACTGTTTAGGCTCTATAAACATTCTGCAACCACCGATGAATTTCTGGGTGCCATTTTTTCTGCATGAAGAATTCAGTGACACACCTTTGCATCATCCACACTTCCACGTCAGATGCCATTCTGTCCCACTGCCCTGTGTTGCCATCCTTTACATGGCAACAACATGTAACGGAATATTATTGGGAAGGTTCAGCTTCTACTGCCATACCACCAACATCCACTTCTGATGTCGTGGGCTAACACAATAAAACAGGAGGCATTACTTTTGGAGCAGCCTTTATATACAGATGTGGTTTTGGTTTTAAGATTCACCCCAGAGTGTTTGGCAGATTGCTATATTGACGACTTGCGTTCGGCAGTGCACCTAATAATCGAATACAGAATGATGGAGAGGGAAAAATCACACTGCTTGTAAAAGAAAGGACAATCAGTGAGGAAAGAAGGCATTTGCAGGCTACTGAATGTGTGCTGCAAGCATTGATGTTGACTGTAACATAAGGACCATAATCATAGGGCTGACTTGCTCTTTATCTTCCTCATGGTATTTCATTCTGCATTCAGAAATCGCCACTTCCTGTAACAGCTCTTCCCACTTTTGCTCCAACTTCCTGAGTCATTTAATTACCTGAGCTGTCAATGAGCCAGGTTTGAGCTGTTACGTGGCTTATGGTTGCTTAAGCCAGATACTGTTTTGTTAAATGATTTTGCGGTAATTAGATCAGACTACAATCAAAGTAATTATGTGTGATGGTATTAAGACCTGATCAGAAATCGATCTTGGTCCAGTTGAAGTATTCTAGGAGGTTAGTATTAACGAAATGTACATGTCCATGGGGATATTAAGCTGTGATATGTATACAACATTATGAGACAGGTACAGTTTTCCCAAATAAACTGTCATGGCCTTCACCATACTTTCTCATTTGTGATTTTTTGGGGGCGAGGAGGATGAGGATGTGCTAATTTGTTAAGCCTGAGGTACCGAAAGAGCCTGTCAGGAATCCTGGATCTGAATTGTTGCACTCTGAACAAATAACTCTCATTCACATTAGCATCTTCTCACACAGAGCCAGGATTAATCTGTAATGGAGCCTGAGTTCCATTCATGCTTAATGCACTGTGTGAGATCTGCAGTTGGAAAAAGAGTCACATTGATCTCCTGTGACTCACAAAATGGTGTGCTCTGAGGTCTGAAGGTACTCTGCAGGGAGGTGTATTCATTGTTGATTTTGGTGAAAGTGCTCCATCCGGTGAAAAATGTAGAACAAACCCATCAGTGGAACATAGCTACACACAACCTGCAAGCAGAAAGTGAATTATGTTTCTGTTTAAGTTTCAGGTTTTTGACTTAGACATTAACAGCCTGCTAAATAGGTCTGTGTCTCAGCCCTTCAGTTGTATGGTGCTTGCAAAGTAAACAGTTGCCTCTGTTTTGTGCCCTGTGTGCATTTTCTAGGTTCTTCCTACCAGAGTCCAAAGGCAGATTACATTTGATTTGGGAGTGTTGCATGACCCAGTTTAGAGAGATCAGCAGTAAGGTTGTGATGATGAAACATTTAAGACAAACACCAGCAAAATCTGTAACAAAGAAGATGAGAATGGAAGTACATGTTGCATGTAAAATTGGTACGCTTTCAGAAGACATGAACGGCCCACACAGAAAATACCTGTTTTGTTTAGTTCTGTTATATTTTGAAGCAAGGACTTGTTATATGGCAGACTCATTACCTTTTGGATCATGCACTGCTAGTGAAAATTCGCCCAAATATTTCTTGAAGTTGAAAAGGTTTCTTCAGCACCTTTTATGCTAAAGGTTGATATTTTTCTGTAGCTCCCACTTACTTCAGTCTGTCTTTTTTTCTAACCTTGGTTAGCAGCAGATTTCCTCTGTAACTGTTCTTTCCACTTAACCAGAGGGGGCTGAGCATCCCAGAGCAGAAGCTGAGCAAGAAGCTGCCTGTAGATCCTGGCATAGCTGCTCAGTACCTGGAGATGGGAGGAGGAAGCAGGAGGCTGGTCAGCTGGGCTTTGATAGGGAGGATGTTGCCTGCATCATCATTACCTCTTTTGCAGCTTCAGTTCTACTGTGCACAGTGAGAAACAAGGAGGAGGTTCTCCTTCAGTGTGCAGGGTGGTGCTCAGACAGCTAGGATTCATTCCTGCCTTTATCCCTGTCCTGTGCAATATAACCCACAAAAGAAATTTGTACAACTTATACCAATTATTGTGTAGATTTGAGTTTAAAGCCAAGAACACAGAAAAGTGCTGGGCATTCACAGTTTTCATGGCACATTGCACACATTCTTCAAATAGAGAAAAAAAAGCAAAATGCAAAGGAATTTGTTTCTCTAAGCAGAACACAATTTAGAGGACACTTTTCCTCTATCAGCTGCAAAAGGAGAGAAAGAAACTCAGCTCATGTTGCTGGTATGCTGCTGACAAGTTCCTTGAAATAGTTTTCAGACACTGAGTTATTATGTTTTTTAAAAATATGTTTGAGGTGCAACTACTATTTGAGAAATAAAACATTAGTCCATGTGTAGAACACCACTGGAAACTCACTCAGTTACTATTCATCTGGTGAACTGAAGGAAGGGAAGATGTCATCAGAAAAAGTCCTCTGTGCTGCACAATATGGACATTCACAGGCAAGCTGAACTGAAGAGCAATGGTTACCTTACTTCTGACATTTCCTATGGTTTTGAGATACTGCTTCTGTAGTTTTGGTGATTTCTCAATGTAGGTGGTACACATAAAATTATAAGTTGGTAATACAGAAAAAATAGATGTGATCTCACTTTGCTTTAGAATTATTCAGTTGACAGCAGAGCTCAGACACACATGAAGATAATACATAAATGTTTTGGGTACAGTAAAGAAGCTCTTAATTTCTAAAGCTAAGGGTATTTCCCATCCTCTGTCTGATAGCCTTGCTGCTCTGCAATTCTGTTTAAAACTGAGCAGTTAATGTGGTTCCACTTTGAAATCCAGGGGAGGTTTTTTTTCTGCTTGACTCTTCTGGGAAGAACACCAGGTTCTCCCTGTTGAGCCAGGCAGTCTTCAGTCCAGGGTGTTCTCTTCTTTGCTAAGGAACACCTCAACCTGAGCTACAGAATTTTACAGAAATTTAAGAAGTTACCTGTTACAAGGATCTTTCTTTCATGGCTGCTTTGAGAAATAAGAAATTGTCATTTTAAATAAAGCATGTGGTTTTTTCCCACTATTTTCAGTTTTGAGAAGCATTTCCAAGGAATAGAAAACCGTCCTCTGTTAGAAGACAAAATCAGGAATTTTTAAGTCACTAATTTTCTCTTTTGATTCATATGATTGGCCCTAACAGCTAGCCTTTTACTAATGAAATGACACTGCATGTGAGGAGAATATTATAAATACACCAAAAAGATAGAGGTAAAGTAGTATGTAGTTCTATTTGCAGTGAATTAGGGTGGCTGTACCTCTCACAGTTGGTATGGATTCACCCCATATTATTTTTTAAGCTTTTTCTTTCTGGAAAAAGAAAAAAAGAAGTTAAAAAAAAAAAAAAAAGTAAAGAATTAGTTTTTTCACTAAAAATCTTGTTTTGGTTACTAACTCTTCATTAAGAGTAAGTTTCATCCCTCCTCTCCTCCTGAGGAGCTCCTGACTGTACCAGGAGTGCACCCTGGGGATGCAGCATGGCTGCTTGTTGCTCAGCACCAGTGAAGGAAGCTGCATTCAGCTGCAGTATCGTCCCAGCTAGGTGCTGTGCTGTGAAGCTACAGTCCAGAAACACAGTGCATCTGCTGGATTCATGCTAACAAGGCTGGCAGTGCTGATGAAGGACTGTGAGCACATTCTTTAGAGTCTTTAATTTGAAAAATTCAGCATATGCATTTCCTCTGTTTTGTTTTTCACCATTTCAATTTGTTTGCCACCACTTGAAATGGCACAGGTTGAACACTGAACAAAGCAGGGCTTTTGTATCCACCTGTGGCACTCATGGCCAGCACTGTCACCCTGCCCTACTGGTCTTTCCCCTGAATGAATGGAGCCTTGCAGTGTCTTGCAAAGGTGGCTTTCCGGGCTTGGCCTTCCCCAGTGCAGAGCAGTGAAGAAGCACTCAGAGGCCATGAACTGGTCACTTATGCCTTGAGGCATAGCTGTGGAATGAGTCTGGCCAGCAGAAGGGTTGTGCAACATACACCCTGCGTCTCTGGGTGGGGAGGAAATCCACACTGGTGAGCAGATGTGGGGCTGTGCAGCCTGAAGCACTGCTCAGCATATGACTGTAGCAAGAAATGGCTGGAACTGGTTAGGGCAGGAGGATGGGAAGGAGAAAGCCAAGTTCTTTTCTGAGCAGGAAGCAAGTTGGGAACTGTA